CCACAAGCTCTCATTAGAGAGCATGGCACATTTAGGCCAGAGTAGAAAACATACATGTACATGTGCATGTACGGTGTAAAGAACCTATAATCTTGCTATAGACTTTGCAGGCTTTTTTCTTGTCTGGGCTCAGATAAAGAAATGAATTACAAGGCATGTACCGCACTTACACAGAATTACATGTTCATGTATGACATCATGGCTTACCATTTTTGTTAGTAAAAATGTACAACTGTATATGGTATGTATGAGTGGATATCAGTAGGTCTACAGTACTCGTATGATGTCCAGTGAAATTTCACTTGCAGTTTGGGCTCAGAATCAGGGCAAAGGCTCCAGTGTTTTTTAAACAGGTGGGTTTTGTTTAACCTTGAACCTTTTCCACACTACCGGTACATGAACGTGCATGTACATGTGCGGGTACATTCACGATGATTAGTGTGTGAAGAAGGTAGTTGCGTGTTTGCCACTGTTCCACCATTGAAAAGGAGCATGCGAAAAAAATTGGAATGAGATTTGTCACATACTGATCCGGCACAAACTTTCCCAATATATAGCCAACAGATGCTGTTTCAAAACTGTTTATTAACACCTGCGATTACCCAGTATTGCTGAATCTTGCCTTGTGGTTGAATATGTTAATGACTCTGTATGTATGGAGATCATGCAGCGAACACTTAGGGGGCACATTGTACCCACCTGTACCCGTACAGTAAAGCTGTGTACTCCTGGCCGGTGTTGATGCCAAATGATACCAGACCCTACCCACAGCCAGCCTGTTGGATTTACTGTGCATGTACATGTACATGTACATGTATTCCGTAGCTGTTTAGCATACCACTTGCTGGCACCACCACACTGCTGTGACTTTGTTGTACGTGTACATACATAGAGTTGTACATGTACATGTAGTGCATTACTGTCAGTAAAACTGAGCAAAGCGTAAGCTCCAGCTTCAATGTACCGTACCGTACTGCAGATCAAAGACCACAGTTCATGTACATGTATTTGAAGAAACTGCCGTTAACTTGTAAGTGAACTTGTGGTTTGTTTCCATTGTTTTTTCGTCAGTGTGCGTGATAAGAAATTTGAGCGGATACTCTGTACAATACTAGGCCTACTATGTACCGGTGTTTTCCATTTACTGCTTATACGCTAAAACACTTGCACATGATGGCGAAATTATTTTGTACCCCCAGTACATGTGTGGTGGTGTACATGTATAGAAAATTTAGGTTGATAGGAAAAAATTGCAAGAAACTATCATTTGTTATGTAAGAAATTTGTATTATTCGAGAGAAAGTGTTGCTCAAAAAGTTTCTGCTTGCCAACTGTCCCTGTAAGGCTGTATAGAGACAGTCTTTAAAGGCAGGGACAGTCTGCTGCCGTGCTGGTTCATGCATGCACCTGTACTGTTCATGGAGGAGCAATGGCCTACATGTACAATCTGTTTATCATCATAGTCTGATGGTACACTGTATGTGCTGTCTTCTTTTTGTCAACCTGCTCACGCACCATTTAATCTACTCCCATCAAGTCCTCCTTAAGCCCTTGCCTCCATTTGACATTGTGCGCCTATGTTACCAGTACATGTACATGTACATGTGGCTAGTCCATGATACCACCATGGAGAATATACATGTACATGTGCATAATACCAACATACCGGTACCGGTGTTACGTGTACATGCAACATGTACGTGTTCATGTATGTACCAGTAGATTAGAGATTTAAATGTGTGACATGTACATGTATAGTATGTTCTGTCTCTTTTCGGTGTTGAAATTGCACAAATGCACACATGCAAAACTCATAACCAAACAACTTGGTGTTTCCTGGAAACCCATTGTGGCTTGTACCCAGTAATTGTGTGGGCACGGCCGCAACAACTGCGCTTGCAGCTTTGACCATGGTTAGTGCTGGCACATGAACTACAGGGCGTAAAACTGTATGCATACACTGTACATGTATATGTACAGTAGACATGTACATGTCACTTCTTCTGGATTGTCTATGAATGTTGCTGCTGTGAAACAAGATCTTGGAGCTTTAAATGTAATAAATTGGGGTGTGCATTTACCTTGGTAAATTTATGTACATGTATGCTGATTTATAAAAAGAAAACCTATTGGACACCATGACTATTATACAAGTACTGGGTAGAGAATGTTTGTGAATATGATTGCAGGGGTAAATAATTTTGTAAGGTAACATTGGAGAATTCCATTCCACATCGTAAAGCAGATTAAAATGAAACGCTTTATCCATCACTGAATGAACTACCGGTAGTTGGGTTTTTTTGCATTGCACGATTGTGAAACAATCACTGTTAATATTTTATACAACACCCTTAGGAAATCCTCATCATCTGACTTGTACAGAAACTTAAATATCCTTTCTCCCTATGGCATTGTAACGTGACATTAAGTTGTAGCGGTACACTTCCGAGTCACTCATTGTGCTTCGTAAGACGTTCCTGTTTGTCTTGCACTTGCCCCTTTGTCATAGCCGATATCCTTTCGTCACCGTCTTCATGAAGAGGCAAAGGTCTCGCCACAGAGTAAAAACTAGTTTTGGGGGAAATCTCTTTTGATGTTAGTCTCTTTTTCAAATAGTTATTTCCCCAGTATTTAGCAATTCTTTGACTTGACAAATGCTACCTCTTGAAAGAAGGGATCTTTAATGATACCAAACTACAAAATAATATCTACAGAAAGCAATTTAATTTGTTTCATTTGTAAACAAACACTTTTGTCTGTTCGTGAAAACACTAAAATTCATGTGACTTTTGTCTCTTCATGAAAACAACACGCACAAAACACGTTTTGCTATTGCGCGTGCCAGGTTCAGGGGAACTTTGCCCTATAGCAGTCAACATGATTTGGCTGATTTCAACCGATTTGGTAAAAATTGATTCAACCGGATTGTAGGCATCTCATAGCCTTATTGATTTGGCACCAACACAAAAATTTGAAAAAAAAAATCATCATTTGGGGCCACTTTGTTCTTAGTGAAAAGAGTGATGATTTGACAGCATACGTACCGGTATTTAATTCCTTTTTTATTCATTTAAGTTCAGAAATTTGAAACATTTTGAGTATCGTTTTCGTGGAATCATTAACCAAATTTATATGGCCTTTTATTATTTACCTTTCCTCCAAACACATAAAACTAGTAGCACTTTTATGGGGGGGGGATATAAAATGTATGTGAGAGTATTCATCATTACTACATGTACCTTTTGTCATACAGGTGTAACGTTTGTTTCTCAATATTGTCAGGGTGTGATGAGGCTTGAAGTTACGCCACAGTCTGCAGTTGCTAGTTTATTTCACGTGGACCCTGTACCGGTAGCGGAACCAGGGTGCAATTTCTTCGGGGATGTCAGGGCAGATAGAGGGAATATTTCTCAAGCCTGAAGTGAACTCCATGTACATGTGCCTTACGGCTTGTACATGTACATGGATTGTGTAAATTTCAACATTGCAAAGGGGAGCGGGATCGTGGGGGGATGTTACAGACTTTTGATGGGGGGGGGAACCATGTTCCCCCATCCCCCTCCTTCCGTACGTTCTTTATTACACTGCTGCGTTGTACCGTACATGTACATGTATGTGTAAACAGTTTTGCCCTGCATTGAGGAGAAGATTTCTTTTGTTTGGCATTAAATTTGTCTTCACAATAACTATCAGTCAACATGTACTTAGTCCCACAGCTAAAATGCCAGTATGCGTGTACCGTCACATCAACTCCGCCCGCTAGCCTTATTAAACTTGTTGATCTCGGTTACAAGCCTTTGTTCTACACTGTACCAGTACCAAAGAGCTACACTCACACTTTTGTACCATACCGGTAGATGACCATGTCCAGTGTTTCCATGGAAGTATTTGAGAAGATGAACATGTAATCTAAGCCCACATACATGTGATACATAAAACAGGTACATGCATGTACGTCTACGCATCATAACTAATATCATTAGGCCTACCGGTACACGAAACTCTTGGTTGTAACTAGACTGGTTTTTGAGGGGTGACTCTTGCATCAGTAAAATTATCAACATTTACAAATCCTGATAATCAACACGTACTGTTTCAAACTTTCATAGAAAGTTTTGTTCAAAGATTTTTATTTGTATTTATTACGGGCTCAACTGCTGTACTGCCTTTGCTTGTTTTTTTCAAATCACATCAGCTCAAATCAGTGGTTTTGCATACTCTGAACAATTACGTACAATTTCTTACTCCAGCGCAGATATTTTGAGTGTTTTTTAGTCCTATGTTTTCGGTGTTGAAATATTTGATGGAAGCGCTTTCCGCCATGTTCTGAAGGGTCTTGTTCACCCTTCAGGGGCCCCATGTGCTTACTGCCACTTCCTGCCCACCCGGCCCCGTGCCCGAATGAGGGTGGACTGTAACGTGTACGTTAAGTGCAGCACAGAGGCAATGCTGTGGAGGGCAAGGTTCACCGATCGCAGCACTGCGATTGGCCAGCCGTAACCCATGAGGCCATGGGTATGGCATTCCATACGCTGGCAAAGTTTATGTAAATGGGAAGTCTGGTGTATCCATACGTGCCTGTGTGTGTGTAGTGTGCATTATACAGTTCATGTACATGTAGGTTGTTGTTTGGAATATGGAGTCTGTTGTGGGGGCTAGCTCAGTTGGCAACCTTCCCATGGTTGGTTGGTTGGTTGGTTGGTTGGCAGTGGCAGTACTACTTCTAAAACTCTTGGCATTTGTAGAACTGTTGCTCTCAAAGAACTGTGCTACCGATACATGGACATGAATAGAGATGGCCTTCCTCACGTGCATGTGCCATGTACATGTAGAACACACCTGTTGAAAGTTACATTTATGCACAAGTTTATTTGAGAACTTATATGCGTTAATGGGGTGTACGTGTAAATGTGCATTATGTGGTAGATCCAGTCACACAGTTGCAAGGATTGTTTACAATTTGCATGCACATAACACTGCAGTCTACCGGTAGCTTTTTTTCCCTGTCAGAAACCATTCTGCACAAATACAAACAATACTTACATTTCAGTAAAAAGCTCTTTCCCTACAAATGTGCTCGTTAAAGTACACAAGAAAATTTGCTGTCTTAAACTTTTATAAGCATTTGCTGTCTTTATGTGCATTAGAATCTACAAAGTTCACCTAATGTTGCCTGGGACTTGAACTCAAAGTAAAGTAAAGTAAAGTGAAGTTACCAATACATGCCAGCAATGAAGAGGAAAAATATTCCGCTTAAAAAAACCTGATCCCCAAGCACATTTACACAATGTTTTAAGCAAATTTTAAAGCATATTGTTTGCATGTATTTGTGATGATGAAAGCATGGAAAGCTCACTTTTTCACACGTGTACGTATACACCAAGTTTTTTTATACAAATTTTGAAATAAGTAATTTCACAGATGGTAATCACTGAAATAAACTTAAGCGAAATGCTTTAATAAAGTTCACAAACGTAAAGTTTTATGTATTCAAACCATTGAAAAGTATGCATTGAAAAAAATCCTGTTAGATCTGCTGAATAGATGTACTGTACCGCTACATGCAGCACGTGAATTTTTATTTGGGCAAAAATGGACTAAATTATCACCACTGCATTACTTTCTTACTTTTTCAAAACTTTAATTACATGTACACATCTGTATTAATGTAATTTAGTTGACCCTTCAAAGTTTGCAGAAAAGAGTTTTATTTTCCATTTTGGGCAAAATGAAAAATGGCATAATTCTGCCAATATTACAGATGTGTACACATCAACTTACTAGCCCTTCACATTTCTCATGCATCTGTAGACACTAGACTCATTTTTGGAGTCACATCATAGACAGATGTCCAAACTGCATCATGAAGTTTACACTTTATGAGTAACATTTACACACGGGTGGTTATGGTGACTGGTGATAACCACCGATTGGCCCACATGATCATATGCAGTGTACATGTACATGCACTGTACTAGTACATGCACCATGGCTGAACAGATACAGGCTGCTGTAAGGGCCAAGTTAAATTCCTTGAAAACACGACTGCCCCCAGCTTGTCAGCACAATAGAGGCTGAGGGATTACATAACTTGGTGGGCCAGCAGCCCTCCACCATAGTCCCTCCAACCACCACCAGCAGCACACAACCAACTGGCCATGAAGCATTGAGGTATGATAATGAGATATTCATATGGTAATCAGGCACCACTGTGCCAGCGTGGGCATTGTGTGTGTAGAGCTAGAGCCGGAGCCTGTCATTTGATACGCAGGCGTGACCCCGGGAACTGCCAGTACATTTGTGCTGTACAGTCAGCTTGTTTGGGGCACTCTCTCTCTCTCCGTGGCTCCAAATACACCGTACACCCACAGACCCAACTACATGCAGACATATGCACACGCAGTAGACTCCTTGTATGCCCTGCTCACATGTGCTGTCTTCGACTTCATTTCTGAACGGAGGAGTCCCGCAGAATTTGCTAGTTGTCTAGTGGAGCGCCGTTGTCTGGTTGTCGTCATTTCCTACAACGCGGTACGTACTATGTGTGCCGAGATGGGTGTTGTTCAAGTTCCCCACTACGTTGATGAATAATTTTGGTGTCACTCTTCACGCAGGGTCGTTACTGTCCTGTTAACGTGATTATGTGTCTGCTTCTTATCTGTTCTCAATTCACGTGACTTTCAACACCTGCATCTGAACAACATAAGTGGAGAAGTAACGCCCTGAAAAGATGAAATCAGTGAATGTATTAAGTTTTAAACACACATTTTAAACCAGAGACACTGCGTGGCTGCCTGATGACTTGATCCAAATTATTGTACGGTACGCATACATGTAGCATTAATATATACGTGTTATGTATGTGTTCACATTATACATCTTTATTTTTCTATTTTTGACCAGGTTTTGACTAATAGTTGGGAAAAGGAGTGAACTCTCACGGTTGATTTTTCTTCCCTTTTCATAGTGGCATTTGCATTTAAAGCAACATGCATATTGCCACTTCTTGAAAGTCTGTGTTCTTGATTATATTGTACACTCGGGTCCATTTGTTTTTAGTGCATTTAATCTCAAACTTTGGTTGAGAGTTGTGAATCTGTCCACTGCACCAATCAGCTTCACGTGTACTCTGCATGATATCCAGGTATGTTCCATGAATCCATCCAGTCCTTCACTCCTACGTCATTCTGGCATTATATTTCACAGTATAAAAACATGTAGAGTGTAACAGTGCGCAATGGGGGAACTTTGTTGTGTTTGCAATATTTCTAACTTCATAAGTCTCCGCTGATAAATCACGATAAGTCACTTTTGTCTGAACTCCTTCAGTGTGGATATTTAGTGCAACCATCCATGGAATATGGTGAGATGCACATTTTATGTCAAGTTTTCATCGACAGCATAACCCACGATGCACACACTGCACACAAATCCTAAGGTTTGGTAGCTTTGCAAATCACCAGTGCTGGTAGTTCCCCCCTCCCCCCATGCACCATTAGAGTGGCCTACAGGGACTAAACTTACTCAAACTTCCCATTCCAAAAGCGCCGTGCCCATACACACTGCACATTAGAATACAATCCAACCATGAGAACCAGCACACAGTTTTGACCTCGACTGCATCATTGGCTGTGTGGCAGCAGTTTTTTTTCCCCCAGTAATTGCCCCGCCGACTGCCGCACACAACTTCATAAGGGTCACTGAGTCACAAGTACGGGTGTACACCAGAGCTGTGCAGATCACAACAAGCTGCACCCTGTACGTTTTTCAGCCCTTTTTTTTTTTTTTCAGCCCAGCGTTTCCGTTGACCTTTAGCTGTTGGCCTCATCAAACACTTGTGCCTGGCAGACATTCCGCCATGGTATCGGTAATCGTGGTAGATGTACCCAGGGAACAACGGTATATGTACCGCCAAAATAAAGCTGTGTTTTCGGACCAGCTGTACAGCATACACTTTGTATAGCGTGTTCAAACTCCAGTTTGTTTTAATCCCCTTTTTTCCCACTCCCAACAGTCAAAACGAAAACTGTATCCAAAATGCTCAGCTGGTTTCCTGACTTCGTTAATATGCATGTTAACTTTGCGCCTGTACAGTTGAACCGGTGGCTGATCTGTGGGACATGAAACTTTTCAAAAGCCTCACAAAATGTTCTAATTTGAGACAGAAAGTGAAACTTCCTAAAATTGTGTGCTACCTACCTTATTTCTCCCCCTCCCAGCACCGATTCTCTTTAGTTTGCATCAGCTACAATCCTCTAATCATAGGATTGCTTCAATTTATATTCTGGATGTTGTACTCACGTTATCACTTTATGGTTCACTGTGCATTATACATGTACATATGACTTCTTACTTGGAAAATTCTGTTAAAAGAACGTAGGTACTGTATATGTAGCTTACAGATCCCGTAAAAACAGAGATATCTGTCCAAGTCTATTTCCTGCAGTTCTGTTCAGTTTTAATGTGCTAAATACAGCCTTACAGAAAACTAGAAAATTAAGAAATGAATTTGCTTTCGTGTCGCACAGAATTTTCAGGCGTCCCCTTTATCCTGAACTCCTGAATTTGTGCTTGCACTGTGTGGGCTCTGAGTGCTCGCAGTCTGGCGTTCGTAATCATCGGGGGGCTCTGCATCGCAGACAAGTGATTATGACTCACGTTTGCGACAGGCGTAGCAGCGCAATGGGCCAATACAGTGTCCGCCTAGAAGGATGAGTCACACAGCTTTCAAGCTGCGTTTGTCGGGGGAGGGGGGCCCTGTGGCAGAGAAACCAATCAGAACGTGTGCTTTAGCAGGATTGTAAGGCAGGGCGCGCGAGCCTTGTGTTATTTGTTGGCATTCCATACCTAGGAAGGCACAAAAGCATGGAAATTCTGCACACTCAAAATTTTCAAAGAGAATTTATTGTCTTACTTTTTTTCAAACACATAAATGCTAATCTTGTATTCATTAAAAAAAACTTTCCAAAGCAGGAGTTTCATTGAGTAAAATTAGTACAGTATCATTTTACATTTTTTTGTCCTTATCACAGGATTGATAACAGCTACATGTATCTAATGAAACTGTTTTTGGATGTGAACTTCTTCCATTTACGTGTAACGGTACATTTAGTGTGTACCAGTATGTCATGTATAACGTAGTGTGTATATTTCATACATGCGCATATACATGTTTGTGTGTACAATGTATGTCCTCACTTCCTGTTTAACATGTTCTATGTCAATCTTGCACAGCAAACATAACATGTTACTCTTTAGTTGTGTCCCGTAAATTTGACAAAGTAGTCGATAAACACACATATGGAAACCAGGGATCGCTGCTGTTGTGGATACATGTACATGTATTGAAAGGGTTTTGAGAAAGTTGAATGGTCTTGCAATCATTTCCATCTTCTACTAAACTGAAATCCCATTCCCTTTGTGTACTCCATCCATCGTGCCATGTGAACGTGTGTGTCTAGTGATACGTCACGGGTTGGTGAGCAGATACCGTACTAACGTCCCGCCAACAACGAATTATAATGAGTTGTGGCTAATCAACTGCCACGCACAATACCAGATGGCCAGGCCTACGCAACGCGTCCTTGTATCGTTACGTGGACACATGATGGACCTGTAGCCTAAATTGCCAGGCATTTTGCTTGCTAAGGGACCAGCAGAAATAGCACATATTCACTAGCACAACATTACAGCGGAGGCTTCATTTCCTTTGTTCTCAAAAGGCGTGTACACATTTCAACTACAGATAATCGCATCATGTCTCAAGAAAGTAGACGGGCATGTACGGTAGACTACAAGAACAAATGTACTCTCATGTACATGTATACAGATTTGCAGTATGATACTGCATGTGTATGAATACATTCTGTGGGCAACAGAAATGTTGCCCATAGAAGGGTGTGATTTGTAGGAAAAACAAACGTTTACACTATGCACATGTTAACGTGAGCATACGTACACGTACCTGTACATATACATGTACATGTATGCACAGTGTTTAAATCCATGGACAGTTTCTTTCCTGATTGTGGTGGTTAGCTGGCGGTAGAAGCAAGTACTGTTCACAGCTTGCGTAAGAAGAATCTGTTGTATTGTACAATGTACACATGGACGTACATACATGTACCTTTACCGTATGTGCCAATTTTGACATCAGTTGGCTACATGTATATTGTACATCACTGGTGGAGATCAGTCTTTGGAAAAGGTGCACATGTAAGAATTGTAGCATGATATTCTGGGCTTTTTTCCATCGAGTTGCCATTTAATTTCTCTTGTGTATACTGTATGTCTCAACCAAATTGCAACTTGCAATTGCGACGGAATACATGTATGAGGTGTGTGTGCTGAAATTGAGTTGCCCTGTTGGAGAGGCCTTTGACACGGCAGTGAATTTTGCTTCAAAAGCTTGAGATGTGCGAATAATTAATGTATTCTCTACATGCATGTTACCCTAAAGCTTCCAGAACCTTACAGATCCTCTAGGATTGTGAGGATTCAAGAAGCCACTGCACATGAAAACTCATGCATGATCAATTTATGTACTGTACATTTTAAGACAACTACATGTACATGTACATATATATATGTACCGGTACATATACGGTACATAGTTGTGCCTTAAAAGGTTAATAATGTTCAATTACCTGTATTTACTAATGACGTTCCTGCCCATCAGTGGATTTTGAAGAATTCGGAAACATTCTTAAAAAAAAATCAAGTGCGGAGGGGGCTGAGTGGTTCAGGTTAATTTTCCAAGAACGCGTACACAAGCTTGTGTGTACATAGATGTAGCGGTACATATAAAACAGATATAAAGTCTATACATGTGCATAAGACTTCACATACATGTAATTTGTGGACGGTTGATAAGCATGGGCAGGCACGTATACACAGTGTTATGTACCGGTACATTGTTTCAAACAAAAAGCCTGATAAATTCCGTTCTTTTTTGATGGGGAATTTTGGAAGCCTTTTATTTCGCCATTGTTGTGACGCTGGTCAACTTCATGGAGGTTTTCAACTCAAGATTTCATGCATCACTAAAGGCCACATCACTGTAATGGCGTGCACACTGAGTCAGTCAGCAAATTCTCCAGCCCTGCCGCCTGCGCAGACACAAAATTATAATGTCGCCTGACTGCCTCGCGTGATAAACAGATGGCGAGTTGCATGCATACATGTATGCGGGATGTGACCTGGCAGGCCTCGCTTTCAGGGACCGGCACTGACAGCACACAGGATCCCCGCGCATGCCTGGATCATCTGTTAAAAACCTCCAAACACGGTAACGATACAGCTGTTTCAGTTTTGTTTGAAGGAAGCCATGAACAGATCACAAAGTGTATATTCTGTAGCGCACTCGCATCATAATTAATTTTGGGTTAGTGGCTGGAAAAGCTTGTAGTGTTCAAGGAAGTTCTATCCAAACGCAATTATATTTGGTCACCCGTGTGCCCATAAGTTTGTCACCACACGGACATGTATCCACTGTAGTACTTATGTCATATCAAAGTCAGACATCTATGGTA